ACCCCAAAACCCCAAAACCCCTCAAAGCTAAATTGATTAAAAAGCAACTAAAAAATTTGATAAATAGTGCAAAATAAGCTTGCGCTAATAATATTTAAAGTTTTTGTAATTATTAAAGTAAGAGTAAGAAGCTTGAGTTTTTGCCTCCAAGAATAAATAAGTAGAATTAGTAAGTTTATCCTCAATCTAGGTCTGTCCAAGTTGAGACTTTATATCCAGCATACGGCTTGGTAAGGAAAGCAAGCATGCATTCCTTAGGATATTATTCTGGTGTAATTGTGCATGTACATTAAACTGAATCATCTCCACTTGTTAAATTGTTAGTAATTGAACATTTGTCATTTCCTTGGGTAAATTCGAAGGTGTAGCCTGGTTTTGTTGTTATTTTAACATTTCCAGTGAAAGTGTAATCCTTCGATGTTGTACCTTAGAAATAAATTAGCTCCCACCTCTTATTAACCTAAACAACTTTATTACCATAAAGAGATCCTTCTTCGTTTTTCTTTATCAGAAGAGATTAGGAGTATCTTATTCCTGACAAATCGGCTTTAAGATCCCCAGTCAAATCATAAACACTTCCTATTTAGGAATAATCTGGAAGTTAAGGCTTAGGTACTTGATCTACTAATGGTTCTAAATCTTTACTGTTGAAATCGTGACTAGTAGGTCTGCTGATTTCACCCTTAATATCCTTGATAGCAATGTCTTTTGGTGAATTGATAATAACTCCGTAGTCTCTTACATCGTTATCGTCCCACTCAGCGTATAATTGCAAAGTGTAAGTACCAGCTGCTAATGGAGTGTCAACTAAATTGATATAAGGAAATTCTGAATCATCGAAAGAAATTGAATTAAGTTTTTTACGCTTAGAATCCAAAAGAGTAAGTTTGAAATCAGCGTCACCTTATCTGCAAGATACTGGATACATCCTTTTAGGATATGGCAAAACCCTTATTTACAATGGAGTTGATTCAGTTAGAGTGAAAGTGTAAATGGAAGGTGTTGTTTTATTTGAGATCTAGTCATCTCTTTTATCATACCAAGAAGTTACAAAGTCTTCTCTCCATTCAAAAACTCCAATTCCTGAGAAGGTTTCCATTACTTCATCGAGAGTCATATAGAATACTCCATCGTTAGTAATCTCAAGATTTACTTTTTCAGCCCAGGTCTTGCCATCTGGTCCAATTGTAAACCACAGAGTTGATCCATCTGCGAAGGATCCGCTGAATTCACCTTCTTTTCTCCATGGATTTCTGATTTTAAAGATCTTGATTTCAATGCTTCTGTCCTCATTTGCAAGTACCGTCACACCTAGTAAAGAGTATGCATGACCACATGCAATATTGTATTTGCAAGTATCTTGATCACCACCAGGAGAAGAAGGAGTTCCAAGACTCATAATATAGTTTTTGCTATCAGCATCTGAGACTCGTGCCCACACAGCATCCTTGCTAGTTGTTTTTATAGAAAGTCCCTGGTGTGGAGCACTAGAGAGAAAATCTAAGGGTTAGAATCCATGACCTCCTTCAATTCTTTCATAGTTGACATTTGCTTTAGCCCATGCCTTTTCTAGAAGTGGACCCCACATTGCTCCATCTAATCCTAAGCCGGCAAATATTGGTTTGGTATACTTAGAGCCAGTTGGGACTGCATCATCGACCACAATAACTTGAGGGATGCCTCTGATATATACATTAAAGGCGTAGAGACCTGCCCAATTAACTTTCGGGTTTACAAATATTTTTTCAAATCTTGAGTTGACTTCTGCTAAAGAAGATATGCCAGCAAGGAAATAGCAATCACCAAGTCCATTCTAATCAATATCATTCAAGAAATCACTTTTTCCATACATTGTGCACTCTGGGCATATATTGTTTAATCTTTGCCAATTTGTGTTCAAGCGACCAGTAAGTTAATTTTCAGAAAATTCACCGCTCCATTGAATAGAAGTAGAATCAGCAGGAAACATTGGATCATTCCAAAAATCAGGTGAGCTCTATACAATAGTTTTATAGTCTACAAGATCCTGCTTGGATCTATTGATATTTGATTAACATGTTTATTAGACTTCTTATGTTTGTGGTAAGAATTGGAGAATCTTTTGTATTCTATTCTTTTATGAAGCAGAGATTGTGCCTAGTAGAAGAAGAGCGTTTGCAAGAGTAAGTCTCATTATATTTTATTTTTGCAAATCTTAGTTGCTGTCAAATTAATAGATTTTAAATTAGAGATTCAGGATGTTTTATATATATTTTAATTACTGAATGATAAGTGTTTTGAATTATGCATCAAATTTTACTGGTAAAAAAAATTAAATCTTTATTATCAATTCTATATTAATTCAATTAATGTAGATTCAGGGGTTTTGGGGTTTTGGGG